TTCAATTTGCTGGAAATTGCATTATCTCAGAAATTCGGGAACGCAATCGTAAATTGACGTGGGAATACTTTGCAGAACGCCGTGATGATCGACATGCCTATGTAAAATTATATAAAGAAAAGCAACTTGAAAAAATAACTCCAGAGGTCTTTATTTTGCTTAAATTTGCATAAGTAAATTCTTATTATTTTGTTTCCTTGTTTACGTATATATTGTCCATTTATTATTTAGAATGCATCTAAGTTAGAAGCTTTAGAGTGGAAACTTAGCTACGAAGATATCCTATTTTATAGGTCGATTGCTAAATCACAATTGAAGAAGGAAAGAGCATTAATAGGTTCGCTTCTAGTAATTTGGAAATTTTATATCATATAAACGATCGTTGGTTATTAATCATTATATATAATTGATTTTAGCCAAGAAACAAAGAGAACGACAACAACAAGTAAAAAGTAGTGGTTGGTTTGGTGGTTGGTGGTATAGCGGACAATCGTCAGGCGTAAGATGTTTTTCATTTATATTTGTTATATTTATTAGTTATTAGCTTATTGAAAACAAACAACATTTAATGTATATTAGTCTTCAGACGATACTATTTGGTCTGACGAACAGCTTCAAGAATTGTATGAAGCCATCGAATATGACGAATCAGAAGTAGCCCCAGCTGTTGAATTGCCCAAAGAGGTAATTTGCAATTCATATTTTTTAACAGTATATTCTTTTAGCAGATTCTTAATATACACATTTATCAATCTCAATCCTCTCACATTAGTGGACAAAACTTTTATTCAAGACAGAACTTAAGACTGGTTCATTTGTATTAAAGAAAGATCCTCATGGGAAGAGCACAGAAATTTTATCTTTAATTTTTGATACAGTGACCACAAAATTCCTCCAACGACCTGATTCTTTTCAGGCAGAAACTGCATTAGGAAGCTTAAGCGTGCATGATGGTTCCACTGAGGGTACTTTATATCCACAAATAGTGAGAGTGAAGGAAGATTTTATTACAAAACAGAATGAAGGGGATTTAGCAAAATCCAATCGTGCAAGTGATATTACTCATGATGAATCACCGAATAATCCATTCTTCCAGCTCGTATTTGAACATAATCCTTTGGATGGTCGCGCTGATAATGGTCTTTCGATGAAAATGAGACATTTGGAAATTGTTTATAATCAGAATGCTATAGAAGCTGTTACCGAGTTTTTCAGGCCTCCAGAACAACAATTGGAGACTATTACCGCTTTAATCGTACGAATGATTTACAACTTAAAAAATATTGTTCGAAGGATGTTATTCTTAGAATTTTTTTTTTTTTTGTTTTTTTTTAGGAAGCGGCAAGTGATACATTTGAAGGACTCAAAGCACAAACAAGGGCTGTACTAGAAATGAAATTGGAGGAGCATAAAACTATTGATGTTGAAGTTGATATGAATGCTCCGATTATCATCATCCCTAAAAGCTGTACCAAACCAGATACCGAAGTAATCGTGCTAGATTCTGGTCATATTAGAGTAGAAAGCAAGCTTGTTAGCAAAGCTGATAAAGAAGAAATACATTCCAAGGCTAGGTCAAGCTATAGTGAGGCTGATTACAAACGATTAGAATCATTAATGTATGATCGTTTTTCAGTGCAGCTATCATCTACACAGGTATATTTTTGTTCATATATAAAATTTAACAATTATGGCATAAATTATGTACAATCGTATCATACAAACAATTAAGTTTACTTTCAATATATCCATTTTAGCTTCTTGTTGGTCAGTCAGTCGAGCGTTGCCTAGCTCAAATTCGTGATTCCGATCCCAAATATGATCTTCACGTAATAGACCGAATAAATTTGCAATTTCTTGTTGAAATGTCAATTTTACCACGGGCCTATAACCTCACTAAGTTTCGAGTTTCTGGACATTTGCCACTTTTAAAAACAAATTTTTCTGACAGAAAATACAAAATAATTATGAGCATTATTGAAACTGTAACTTCATCATCGAGCTCAAAAGAAGAGCCTAAAATAGAAACACCTGAAATAAATTTACCTGAAAAGATGTCAGTAGCTAAAGCAGCTAACGAACTCCTAAAGGATACCAAGAGCTCGAAAAGTAGAGGTTTAGAACGTACCAGACATATTGACAATAATGTGATTGCTAAGTTAGGTTTGGGTAAAACCCAAGATTTGGTATTAATTGATAGTGAGAGTAGTGATGATGATGCCCCAGAGGAACGTAATGAAGAATTTTTTGATGCACAAGATACAGACGTATGTAATTCTTTCTTTGTGACTATACTGTGGTTGCGAAACTTGTAATAACTTTATTTAAAATCAAAGGTCTCAAGTACAGCAAAACTAAATCAAAGAATATTTGAATTTGAATTCAGAGTGGATAAATTTTCAACTACACTTAAAAAAGCGGATTCGGATGTTGACAAACCAGAAGTTATTCTAGTTGATATGGTTTTGGAGCATTTTGGCCTGACTTATGTACTTCGTCCGTTTGACATGTCGGCAGAAGTGGTGCTTAAATCTCTCAGCATTGAAGACAAAATGGATACAGGATCAGAATTTAAACATTTGGTTGCATCTGAAGGATATGGCAATGCTCAGGCTGATGATTCGAAAGATCTTGTACATGTCAAATACACCAGAGTTGACACAAAGTCACCTGAATATATGTCCAAACATGAAGGAATTAGCCAAAGTGTTGATATCGAGATGTCGACCATAAATATAATTGTGACACGTAAAAGTTTATTGACATTATATAACTTTGTTTTGGACACATTTACTTCTTCCGAACCGGCCCCCTCACAATCAAGTGTAGAAACTGAATCGCCTACTCTCCCGGAATCTCAAAAGTCACAGGTATCTCAAGCATCGACAATGCGTGTTAAAGTAAGACTCAGTAGTATAAGATTCATTTTAAATAATGATGGAGTCCGGCTCGCAACAGGATTATTGTATCATGCGGATGTAGCAGTATTGTTACGTCAAAATACTATTCGTGTTGCTGCTAGACTAGGAAGTTTTTCATTATCTGATGATATGGCGGGACCGAATAGTGATGAATCATTACGACAATTACTTACATTACAAGGAGAAGATTTGGCTGTTTTTCACTATGAAACCTATGATGAATCAGCACCTGGATTTCCTGGTTATGATTCATCGGTTTCTTTACGTACTGGATCAGCAAAACTAACTTTTCTTGAGGAACCTATTCGTCTTTTGCTCGATTTCGGAAGTAAATTTGCTCAAATGAAAGGACTTTATGATTCCGCTCGTAGGGCGGCTGTATCACAAGCTGTACAATTGCAAGAGAAAGCTTCAAAGTTTCATTTTGAAATTAGTATTCGCTCACCTATTGTTGTATTCCCCCACGATGTTAATACTAAGGATATGGTTATCGCAAATCTTGGTGAATTTTCGGCATCTAACGAATTCGAACCAAAAGATGGAAATAATAGTTATATTACTCGGATCACAGCTGAACTCCAAAAAATTAGTTTGACTTCTAATTTTATGACTCCAAATTCTTCTACAGCACAAGTTCTCCAAATTATTAATGATGTAGATATTAATTTTAAAATGTCATACGCGGAACATACTGTAGGTTCAGAAGGGCCTGATACGAAGGTAAAGCTAATGATTATCTTTTGTAACGTTATTTTATGAAAATTGATGCTTACATAGTTTATCAAAGATAATCGGCAATATGTCAGATGTTCGAATGAATTTAACCGAAAGACAGTACAAGTTCTTGTATGAACTTTCAAATAGTGTTTCTCGAGCGTTTAGCGGCTCAAGCGAGCAACCTCCTACACCAGCGAGAAATCAAACGATTGATTCTATTCAAACTCCTCCAAGTAAACCATCCAACACTTCCACTACTAAGGAGATTTCTTCAAAAGTAGAAGTTGAAGGGAATTCATGGACAACAATTAGTCTTGATTTCGAAGTGAATCAGATCTATTTGGAAATTTTTACCGATGATGGATCTGAAGAAAAGGCGTTAGATGCTACAAGTTTGTCGAGATTTTCACTTAATCAAACCAAAGTCGAATATAGGATGAAGAGTGATAATTCAATGAATGCAGAACTTCGAATTCAATCTTTCACTTTAAATGACACACGTCCAAACATTAAGAATGTTTATCGAGAAATTTTACCTGCAGCTAATGCGGGCAAACCACAATTCGTTATTGAACTTACGATGTCTGGAGATCCCGATAAAAACATTGTTGCTATTGTTAAAGTTATCAGTCCTAAAATAATTTTAACATTGGATCATTTATTCGCTACTCGTAACTATTTCATGAGTGCTTTTGAGTCATCAACTCCATCTAACGAGAACGCTACACAAGCTCAGTCTTCTGAAACTTCGCCTCCTTTGAAACCTCCAAGACCTAAATCTCCGACAACAACCCAACCCCCGATGTTACCACCAAGACCAGTAGCTGCAGAGCCAAAACCAACAACCACATTGTGTTATCAAGTGGAAATCGATTCTGCTGAAATAATATTGTTGGCTAATCCTCATATAGCTAGTAGTGAAGCAATTGTCCTTTCTGCACAGAAAATGGTTCTTACACAACAAAGCGCAATGTTACTGACTGTTGATAAAGTTGGGATGTTTTTATGTCAAATGGATAAAAGAGAATCTACTCTCCTACGATTCATTGATAACTTTGATTTAGCATTAACGATGGAAACTAAATCCCAAAAACCAGAACAACAACTCACAGACATTAATGTTAATGTTGGTCCTCTCATTTTGAGGGTGTCTTATAGAGATGTCCTTCTTATTGTATCTATTGCTAATAAAGTTTCAGAACTATCTTCTCAACCTTCATCTCCAACAAAGAAACCTGAACCAATAGCCGAGACTTCTATAAATAATATGCAACCTATTAGCTCACCATCAAGGACATTCAATTATAATACTTTAACTAAAAAAGGCAGTAATTCATCCAAAAACCGGCCAAGTCCAGTTGTGACTAGAGAATCGGTAAATTTTTCATTTTTGGTTGAGATATAAACCATTCTTATTATCACGATAATTCTTTTAACAATTTATATAGCTTAAGGTAAAATTAAAATGCGCAAGACTCATTTTAATTGGTGACGAACATGACATACCAATGATCGACGGCAGTTGTGACAAAATTGATATCGAGATTGTAGATTGGTCGTCACAGGTTTGACTTGATCATAATTGATTAAATTTCATTAAATTTTCTTTGTATTTTTGGTTGACTATTCGTTTTTAACCCTTTATTTTAGCTTAGTGTTGATGTCGCTGTTTCTACTTATGTTAATTATTTTAATCTTACCAATTCGCATTGGGAACCGTTGATTGAGCCTTGGCAATATAATGTTCATGTATGTTGTAATTTTAATAATGTTCTGTTTTGTGATTTATAATCTAACTTTACTTGACTATATTAAAGGCTTTAAAACAAACGGTTCCAGAAAGTATGGTAATTGATATTACTTCATTAAAAAGATTAGAAGTAAATATTACCCATATTTTCCTGGAAACTATGCTGACTACTCTTTCAATAATTAACCAAGTATCTGAGGTTAGTAACATTATTTTTCTGTGGTTTATATCTTGATGTCATTTTTTTTATTTTTATATTAAGCATTGCATATATTATAGCATTTATCGACCACTGCTAGGGGCTCCAGGGCACCATATATATTGAGGAATAAAACTGGTTATAATATGAACGTTTGGGCAATTTCATCTGATGATGCTAAGGACACTGAATTAAAAGTAATGAATGATGGTCAGGAATTAGATTGGAGGTTTGATGATTGGCGTAAAATGCGTGAGGTTTGTATTGCTTTGACATGTGAATTTAAGCTTTTACGTCAGATTACAATATCATTTGATTTTAATTTACGCATAGTCGATGGCTGTGACAAAAAACATGCTCGGAATTCAATTTGAAGGTTCCAATTGGGAATGCATTAAAGATATTCCTGTAGATAGAGAAGGAGAGAACATTTATATTTTACGTCCAAAATTAAATGAGGTTTATCACCGATTGGTGGTTGATGTAAAACTAGAGAATAATATTAAGGTTGTTACTTTCCGATCTGCACTTGTCGTTGAGAACCGTACAAACTTGACTGTAGAATTATTAGTTGTTGATAATTCTGGCAATCATGTATCAAAAGTTTATCAAATAGGTAATAATATTACTACTAATATATATATTCATAATTACACGCATCTAGTATGTAACGCTTAATGACAATAATAATTGTAGGATCTGGAGATGATTGCCCAATTCCAATCGAAGCCGCATATTATCATAGATTCAAAATTCGGCCTGATGGTGCGAATATCATGAATTTTGCTAAAAAAAACTTATTTTTATCAATTTTTACTAATATTACTTTGTCATTTGACAGGCGGGTTTGGATATAATTGGAGCCTCCAGAGTCTCTACTGGAAAGATTTCTTGAAAAAGGATCATTTAACTTCAGTTTCATGCCATCCTATTCAGGATAATGTCCCATTTCGGTTTCAAGTTTTTCCTCGATACCAAAAGAAAAATCCCCTTACAAAGCAAGAATTATATAAATTTTGATATTAATGATTTTCTATATTTCATCTAGAGCATTAATTAATTAAGCCTTGTCATTATAGAGAGTATCCTTGCATGGCCATCAGTCTAAATGCGCCGATTCAAGTCGAAAATTTGTTACCTTACGATATTGTGTTTCGAATAAATGATAATACTATCAACCAAGATTTGCCAGGAAATCGGTTAGAAAAGGGACAAGTGACTTCGCTTCATCTTATTGAATTAGGCCACTTATTATTGCTGAAGATAGAAAAGATAATAGATACAGGTTTGAAATGCTTTCTAATATAATGCAAAAGTGAATTACTCACTGACGTTATCTGTCAATGAAAGCTTTCAAGGAATCCGATTGGGCTATTATTAATTCACCAAATAAGTCTGAGTATCAAGTTGAAAAGACATTGCCTATCACAGATGATAAAAAATTGAAATTAAATCTTCGTATACATTACTAGTTAGTAATTTTTACAAGCCTCTAATTTGCATATTTATATATAATGAGGTTATATTTTAATATATGTTACATTTTGTTTGATAGTGAGATCCCTGATTCTGGAGGCGCGTTTAAGTTCAGTATTTATAGTCCTTACGTGATGATAAACAAAACTGGTCTGGATATGGCCTTCAGATCAAAATCTCTATTTCAATCTGCCAAGGATGCAGCCGGTCAAGGTAATAATCATTATACTCTGTTAGGTTTACCGATTTGAATTAATATCTACAAAGTAAATCCTTCAAACACTAGGATTCGTATCAAGCAAGGAGAAAAGTCCACAAGTTAGTGCATTTTATTTAGTGAAAGAATTCCACTGTAATAAGTTTATTAACATTTAAATTATAGGTAGCGCCATATATGTTTTCTTACGCCGATGATAGTAATCAAAATCGCGCCCTTTTGAAAGTAGGAGATTCAGAATGGAGTAGGGTATGTTGTGCTACAATATTTTTATAATTTTAATTTTCACCATTTATATTTATTTGTACATTGTTTTTAGCCTCAAAGCTTTGAGGCTGTTGGAACATTCTTAGAAGTTGTGATTCCATCAACTTCAAATGCGGAAGAAATTCACATAGGCGTGAGCGTCCAAGAAGGCCATCAAAAAGTAAGGATAATAATTAACTCTATCATTACCGATTACTCTAGAATTTCCGATCTAAAATTTTCTTTTATCTACTTACAGTATAAATTGACAAAAATAGTTACATTCACACCACGATTTATTATAAAAAGCAATCTAAGTGAAGACATTATTTTCCGCGAGCCAGATTTAAAAGGAGAAATATGTGTTAAATCCAAAGATCGAGTGCCACTTCATTTCTTAAAGCACGATGCGGCCAGACAATTGGTGCTATGTTACCACAATTCAACTTCATGGTAGGTAATCTTTTTGGCAGTAATACCTGTTTTGCAAAAATGTTTGTAGAACCTAATTATCTGTGAAATTGATTAGGTCTGCTCCGATAAATATCGATGAACTTGGAAGAGTTCACCTTAAGTTAGAAAAATCTGATCATGAACTTGATTTAATTCGAACTGAAGTCTTACTTGAAGACGCCACCATATTTGTAATATTCAACAAAGAAGAAGGAATATGGCCTTTTAGAGTCGAAAATTACTCTGATGTTGAAGTAGTCTTCTACCAGCAGGTAATTTTCGGGATCATTTTGAAGTGCATTAATTGTCACGATGCATATAATTTATCAAAAAATAATTGAGATGTAACCAATAATATATTAGCAATTTTATTATTATTTCTGATCATCAATAAATTCCATTATCTTTATTTTAGGAGCCGAGTCGCCGTGAAAGTACACAGCCATCTTCACCCAAAAAGTTTACTCTTAAACCCAAAAATGCTTCTCCGTATTCATGGGATTATCCAGCTCTTAAAGAAAAAAGATTGGTGTTAAAGGTTAACAACAATGAGCGAGTAGTTAACATTCAAGAAATCGGGTCACTTGTGCCATTTAAATGCTCTGTAACTATGTTATTCTAAGCTTAATTTGTTTATGTAACAGTTTTGTATTTCATGTAACATTCTTTATATTACATAGGCTAATGGTGGAAGTCACATTTTGGCTATTGAAGTTGTGGCGGATGGTCCCACACAGGTCTTACTGCTTTCTAATTACAATCAATCTGAAAGTTTGTATAGGCCAAAGGCATCATCAATTGCATCATCATCAAGTAACGATAACTCTAGTCGAGATGCCTTTGAAGTGGTTCGTAAATTTTTTTAATTCAATCTGTCTCATCTTTATCGATATCTTAATCAATTCTAAATCATAAAATTTAGATTGATGTTGATTCAGTAATTACTCTAACGTTTCAAATAAGGCTCGAGGGCATTGGAATATCCATAATAAACAAACGCATGCAGGTATATTAGTTGCCAAATGTTTATAAGTTGATTTTATTGCGTTTAACTTTTTTTTTTTTGATTTGCTTAGGAATTGGCTTATGCATCGATGCGTGGACTAAAATTCACGTATAATGATTCAACATTGTATCAATCAATCAATTTCTATGTCAACTGGTTGCAGGTAGATGTGCATTTTAATATATGTTATTAAAAGTTAATATTGGGGTCAATTTTTTTTTAATATTTTATTAAATTGCTCTCTTATAAAAGATTGATAATCAGCTATACGGTGGGATTTAT